CCCCCGTCCTTCTCCCCAGGGCAGGGTTTCTACCTCCTCTTGCAGGGCAGCTCTGAGACAGTCAGCCAGGTCCTGCAGCCTCATCTTGCTTTCGGCGATGTCTGCAGAGCACTGGGAGACTTTGGCCCTCTTGAGCTGCAGGTCCAGGAGCTCGGCCTTAGCGCTCTCCAGCTCCTTGCAGAGGGCAGCCTGCTCTTCCCTGTGGGAGGGCAGCAGGGTCAGAGGGAGTAGCGTTTCCCCTGCTCAGGATGGGACAGGGACATTTCCCAGACCTGCCTCCCGTTGCAACTCAGAGGGGAGACTCAAACCCCACAGCGTTAGATGCCAGCAGGTCTTGTGCACAATCTAAGTCAGCACAAGGAGACGAAGCTGCTGGACTTGCCTGTGGCTTCTTCCCCACTAGGTAACTGCACTTGGCTGGAGCAGCAGTGACCACACAACCATGCCCTCCCTCCCTTCCCCTAGAAGGGTCTTGATTTCCCTAAATCAAGGTGTTTAAAGCAGAGGTGGTAAGCACGGGCCATACTGCAGGCACTGGTGTGAGTCCTTCAGCTCCTCGTGCTGCAGGCTGCGCTCCCGCAGGACGGCCAGCGTGGACTTCAGCTTGGCCTCCGCCTCCATCAGCTGCGTGCGGGACATGCGGTTCTCCTGGTCGATGAACTGTGGGGTGGGGGGCACGGCCATGAGCACTCGACCCGAGACCGAGGGGCTGCCGGCCGAGGGGGCAGCAATCTGCCTGGACAGCAGAGCAACATCCCCCCAGGAGCCATTGCTGGGCACGAGGGAGAGCAGCTCTACGTGCAGGATGTCAACTGCGCTCGCTGAGCTCGCCCCGCGGGAGGGCTAATCCCGCGCCTGGCTGGCTGCCACAGTTTCCGCAGGGCCACAACGGCATTACTCAGCGAGGAGCACGTGATAGCCGCAGTCAGCCTCAGGCGCTCCTACCTCCCGGCACTCTGTCATCTCCCGCAGCTCCTGGCACAGCCCATCGCGCTCCTGCTGCAGGGTGTCCCTCTCCCTTGCCAGCCTGGCAGCGAAAGGACACAGTGACAATGAGGCCTGAAGCAGGTATGACAGCTCGGGGCAGAGCGGTGCCAGGACCGGGACCGCCCCCAGGGCTCTGCCTTGGATGCAGGGGTGCACGCTCAGACTCACCATGCCATCTCCTCCCTGTAGTCCTCGTTCTCCTGCCGGAGCGCGTCCCGCTCCTGCTGCAGGCTGGCCAGCTCCTTCATCTGGCTGCTCAGATCTGCAACAAGGCACAGTACGAGCGCTGAGAGCAAAGCAAGGGGAGAAGGAGGAAACTCCATTCCTCCAGCCCCAGGAGGCGTCCGAGAGGGACCTGGATACCAGGCCCGGGAGAGGGCTGTTTTCTGCAGTTGCCAGAACTGCGCAAAGACAACCGTGTTGCTCAGTTCAGCCTGACAGAGCTGTGTCCGCAGGGACAAGGGCGGGCAGGGCAGCACGGGGGCAGCTCCGGCATCCCACGCCAGCTCCAGGTGCCCATACCTGCACTGAGGCGCGAGTTGGCCACCATCAGCTGCTCCACCTGAGCCACCGAGTCCTGCAGTGCCACCGATGTCTCCTCCAGCTGGCGGGAGGCCTGCAGAGACATCGTGCACGTCTCCACTGCCCGTGCACTGGCTGTGCCAATGACTGCTTCACCCCTCCGGGGAAGCTTTGAGCAGTTCACACACCCTCTACCCCATGGGGCCTTCCCACCCCAAGGATGCCCATGTCCTTCCACCCCCTGTGGGGACAGCCAAGCTGCACAATAGTGTCCCAGATACCCCCAGACACTGTTCAGAAGTAGGCTGTCCCGCTACCTCTTCCTTGGCTTGAAGAGCTTCATCCGCTTGCTGCCTCATGGTGTCCCGCTCCTCCAGGCAACTCTGCAGCTTGCCAGGCACGCTCTGCAGCATGGCCTTGCACCGGGACACCAGGGACCTCACCTGGTCACGCTGTGAGAAAAGAGGATGTCCTGAGGACGAGTGCAGCTCTGACAGCCTCAGAGCCCAGATGTCATGGCCACGCAGGCTTGCCAGAGGCCACGCTGTCCCACTGCATGACCAGGGATAGGTCACAGCTCAGGGATGGGTCCAGCCAGCCAGACTGATCTCAGCCCCAAGAGCACAACATCAGGGTGGCAAAGCAGTGCCAGCCTGAACTGCTTGCTGCTGGGAAAGCAAGGGGTTGCACTTGGAGCCCACCACCAGGACACATCTCACCTCCTCATCCAGGACCCTCCTTTCCTCTCGCAGGCTTTCAAAGGCAACATCTATGAATTCCCGGAAGGGCTGAGACTCAGCAGCCAGAGATGCCTGCGGGACAGGAGAGAAAGGTCAGTACTGCCAGGATAGAGTAGCCACCTTATGTCAAATAACTGCAACAGGAGGCAGATGCCAGCCCTGAGGTCAGATCTGCTGCAGCAGCAGCACCGCTGCTCTCCATCAGACCCAAGCCTGTCACAGGCCATTGCTTATAACAGCAACCAGCACCCAAGGCCAGCATGCGGCAGATCTACCAGCAGAGCTGGGACCCAGCCCAGGCCGAGGATCCTCCAGCCACCCCAGGGACCAAGGGGTGCCTGTTTGGTACCTGCTGGTTGATGGTCTCCACCAGCAGCGTGCCCAGCTCTCTCTGGGAGGCCAGGCTCTGCTCCCGCATGCTGATCTGGGTGCTGGCGTGGGAGCGGAAGGCCTCCAGAAAGCGATCTCCCTGCAGAGGGACGAACGTAGCATTGAACATGGACCCACGACCCGGCTTTGCGAAGGGCAGCTCCCAGCACCGGCTGGCTGAGCTGGTGGGCGCGCGCGTGAGGGGCCCTTCCTCCCCCACGCGCTCTGCTAGAGCCCAGGGGTCTCGCTCCTGCCATAGCGCGGCTGAGCCCTGAGCTGAAAACCACAAGCCCATCCAGCCTGCTAGGGCCACCCTGGGTGTCGGTGGCACCTGAGGGACCTTCCCTCCCCAGAGTCAGCAGATGCTGGATGTCCTGTCCAAGGGATGGGGCCTGGGACAGCAGAGCCCGCCTGTGAATGCCACAGCAGGCCGTCCCGCTACCTCTTCCTTGGCT